GTTGAAAAGAGAGTCGTTGCTTTGTGAATTGGGCAGTGAGTCATTGTATTATCATTGCTAGAAGAAATCAGAACCATGAATTGGGCCATCTTCTCCTTGGGTTTGTTTTAACATTAAGCTGCCTTTTTTTTCTAATTGAGCCATCTCCAAAATCAAGCCCACAAGTTTTTCCACAAAAGTTTCGCCCCAATTGCTAGCCCTTTGCCTTCTAACGATTGGGCTATTTCCAAGATCAAGCCCACAAATTTTTTTTCACGTGGATTTCAGACTTTATTACCAGCCTATTGACATATTTCTCTTGAATCACCCCATTAACCACTCTCCCCACCTCCTTCAACATCACAATATGCCATAACATACCTGAATAGCCCATTCCCTGCTTCTTTTACTGTGTATTCTAGCCTCATCCTCATCTGCCTCGTGAAATTCTACATAGATGGTGTTAGAATCTCATAGTTCAGCTTGTACTCTCTTCTCGAATTCCTCTAAATTCCATGACGAAAACTTGTTAGGTAGTAATTGAACCTTCAGAATACTTCAAGATTCATCTCCGTCCATAACTCCATTCATGGCTACCTTTGGACAAACAAGAGTTGTCAAGAGTTTTCTAGGTTTCATCCATTAACTGCATCATCTTAGCCATGCTCTGAGTGAGGTGCTTCACTGATCTCTCAATCTAGGTAAGTGTTGCATTTCTAATTTCAATTCCTTCATTTCCTTCTCCATTACTTCCACCCTACTTTCTATCTTCTTTTAGGCCATCAAGATGACGTGCTCCGATACCAATTTGATAGGACTCCAATGTAAGAAAATAGAAACAAAGAAATGTTATTGAATTCTGAATGCAATTAGGGTGCGTTTGATTGTAAGGATGGAAAATAGGTAGAAAGAAAATGTTTTACAGGGAAAAGATTTGCCTAGAAAATGTTTTGTAGGGAAAATGATTTCAAGTGTGTTTGATTGGTATAATTNTTCACCAAATTCAAGGAAATAGTGCACGTTGGAGGAAAATGAGGAAAACCAATTACCTAGAAAAAAATGCTTATCAAACAAGCCAATTGGGTGGAAAATGAAATCATTTTCTATTTTCCCAGGAAAATTGGAGCTATCAAATACACCCTTATAGAAAAATACAAAGCGGAAAAAGGTAAATTGGACTCTTTTAATCAACTATTGCCTACATATCCTTTCCTATCTACATCTATTTATAATCCTTCCCCTAACTAATTTATCTTTCCTCCCCCCACTTGCCCTTGTAATAGAATGTAGTTATTCCTTCCTTCCATTGATTCTCCATCCTTTTTGAAGCTTCTAGAATAGGTATTGATGTAGGATAGGAGAAAAAAACAGCAAGAAAATGGGGGAGAAACAGGAGAGAACGGGGGAAGAAACCGTAGGAGAAATCAGGGGAGAAGAGGGGAAGAGAGGGTCGTGGCTGTAAGCCAAAAACTCAATTCATTTTTATTCATTCATCGTCTAATTCAATCAACAATGAAAAATTCAATAAATAATAAAAAAACTTAACCTACTAGTGTCGGGTTTGGGTCAACTCAATACTACAAGCCCAATAATAATAAAAACATAATTAAATAAAAATCAACAATAAAATATATTGTAATGTCCCCATCAACTCTCACGAGGTGAGAGAAAAAAAAAACTCAACCCTGTCGAGTGGATAAACTGCTACCACATGGGACGATCTCTCCATCTAATCAAGTACCGATATTGGACTCTGAATAACAAACAGACGTGGAACTCATCTTGAACACTTTCATTTGGTTGTGCACAATGAGGAGCATAAGAGGCTAGCACCGCAGACTGGCATGTACAGAAAAATGATCGCAACATCGAAGGCTCGAATGGGCCCCGATTAGGAAACAATTCTTCTATATTGAAAATATAACTTTCACTTGAGATGGCCAATCAAATCAAAAAACTTTATGTGAATGATCCAAAAACTTTTTCTTCACGTTTTTAGGAAAACGGATAAGAAAGACGCACAATAAAGTATAGTAATTTTCAATAAGATACCCGAACATATATTGCACCTTGAAAGTAAGTTCAAAAATTTCATGATTGGAAATGATTTGACCTTTTAATTTGGCATGAAATTTAAGAACATTGTCAACATGATGATTAGTTAACAAAGCATGTCAATAATTAGTGGTCAACATCCTAATGTCGATAGGAAGAATGTGCAATCGGGTAATGGCCTTAGAAAATAATGTGGCAACCCGTGGAATCCCATGTAATTGAGGAAAAACTAAAACAAATTAAACATGAAAGTCATGTAACCTACTAGGCATGAGATCTAGGATATCTAAAATATCTGACTTTGATGGTATTGCTTTAGGTAACTTCTCAATTATATCAATGTTACGTGTATCGGTTAAAGATACGGTCACAATAGGGAACACAATACACTGTTCACAACTCTTGACTTCTGTGGCAATTGAGGAAAGAACTGCACTATAATTATTTAAACAAAACCCCAAAGATTTTATAGCTCGTGACAAGTAAAGTTTGATCGTGTCAGCACACTTCTCAAAAAGTCTTTCCACCACACTAAATTTAACATGAGAACCCTCACTGTGTTTATTTTGAACACAATTTAAAAGAAAGGTAATCAAATCTAGAGTATTGTCACTTTCTTCCAATGTAAATGTTATGATAGTCTCTATGGATGTGAAGACATTCCCTAAATGATTTCATTTTAAAGCTACAAGAAAGTGTTGGAATATGTCAATTGTCATGCGTTTACAATCTAGGTCCAACATGATAAGGCAATACTTCGCATTAACCATAGTATCTAGTATCCTAACTGCCGTAGCATACAAATTGATGGATGTGCTCGTGAGAAATGTAAATGATTATATAATCAAGGGAAAAATGTCTTGCATTATTTCATCACGGAAAGGGAAATCATGTGCAGTGATGCAGAATATTTCACCAAGGCAAGAAACAGCTGCTACTTGTATAGCAAAATCAGGATGTATTAATACATATGAGACCTATGCTGTGCTAAGAGTATTAATAGATGTGAGCATGGAAACAACAGGCAATTGATCCACTAGGGAAAGCAAATACTCAATTCAGGCAATTGATCCACTTGGGAAAGCAAATACTCAATATATTCAAGTAACGATAGAAGCTCATTAAAAGGTAATGAAGATTGAAGAAGTTTCCTTCCATTTGTTAACAAGTGGACTCCTAACGTTTGGTATTCTTGCCATAACATTTTTTTTAATTCTTAAAATTAACAAGCCAAAACATGTTCAATACAAAAAAACTTGTTACCTCAGAGACTCAAAAGAGTCCAACAATGCCCCAATCATGATTTCCATTTGGCACTACTACGGTGGCAAGGCGACAACTGAATCGTTTCAACGGCCGTCAACAACAAAATTCACTGCGAATAACGTTAAAAGAAAATTACAAAAGTAGGGCACAAACTGAGGCCCAAAGTACCAATAAACTACTCACTATTCAAGGCACACTAAGGCCCAACAAAAATACCAAATCAGACTTTTTTTATGGAACTATTACAAATTAACAAGCCTGGCCCAAATTTAAAACTAAAACAAAGTAACAAGCAGAGACCCAAAATGTAAAACTAAAGCAAATAAGAAAACGGCCCAAACCAAGGCCCAATTACAAGATAAAGTTATCTAAACAAAGCAGGACCAAACCAAACCAAGGCTCAAATTTGTAGGCTAGTGTGGGCTTCGTCTGTTCGTTCGTCTCCCCGTGGTTTCAATTCGTCTCCCTTGGGTACTGCAAGGACACGACGAATTAGGCGTCATCGACGAGGTGAGTCAATTTCATGGATCACTGTCGGGTGACGGGTTCGGGGATGACTTGTGATTTGAGGTTCCGGCTTTTGTGTGTGGTTTGTGGTTTGTTGATGACGTTGTGGTGGCCGACGGCCGGGATGATGGACCAGCGACAACGATAGGTGAGTTAGGCCTGGGTTGGTAGCAAATTTTAGGGCTGATTGTTGATGTCAATGCCTAGCTTTTGCGATAGTGGATTTAAGCTTTTTTTTTTTTAGGGTGTCAATTGTGATGCAGCGAGCGGTTTTTGTGTGGTTATGATGGCTGTGTTAATTGGTGGTTGTTGGAGAGTGGTTTGTGGGAAGCAGTGGCAGGAGTGGAATATATGGCTATGGCAATTGTTCGAATTGCAGGTAGGCATCTTGTCTACAGATTATGGGTTGTGTATGGATTGATGCTGGGGGTCGTTTTTACCAAACAGATGAGATGAAGTTACATGTTTTGGCTCTGATACCAAATGTTTTATGCAGAATAGGAGAAGCAAGCAGAAAGAAAAGGAGGGAGAAATCGGAGAAAATGGGGGAAGAAGCCGAAGGAGAAATTAGGGGAGAAGAGGGGGAGAGAGGATCGTGGCTGCAAGGCAAAAACTCAATTAATTTTTATTCATTCATCGTCTAATTCAATCAACAATGAAAATTCAATAAATAGTAAAAAACCTAATCTACTAGTGCCGGGCTTGGACCAACCAAATACTACAAGCCCAATAATAATAAAAACATAATTACATAAAAATCTTATTAATAAGCACTTCTCCTCAGGAAGGAGAGGGTAAAGTGACGATATCTTAATAACAATAGAATTTGGTTATTTGCTAAAGAACAGATGGGGAGAAAATAATCAGAATAATATTCTGTACATGTACATGTACAATACAACGAACTTTGTTTCAATACAAAAAATAACGGACAGGGAAAACCCTCAATCCTCAACAACAATCAACAAACCATTTGAAAAACAAACAGGATAACATTCATTTTTTGCATACCTTTCTGGTATCAGCCCAAAAATTAAAAAACCAAAAACAAAAACAATGAATGACCATCATATAATGTACATATGGAGACGAGCAAAAACTAAGCAGGATGCATCGACTCAAGCTACTGCCTTTTTACATTGTAACAAATTTGGCGCTGGAGAGGAGATGAAGCTCTGTATGAAATATGATACTTAGTAGAGCTTTATTCTGGTTTGGATTGGACTTCGGCAAATTGGACAAAGCTGAAGGTCTTGTCCACAGTCACAACACGTCTGACAAATAAATGAAATGTCAAAATGTAAATATATCTTCCACTTCATCAATTTCCACACAATACTAGAGTAAAGTTTGGTACAAGCAATCTACAAGATTTTAGCTTCTTCAACACTGACCAATACTCCCTACCAAGCATGCCATATGTGTTGATTCACTATAGAAATGGAATTACCTGATGCCCACAACCGAATGCCATGTCCTTTGGGTTACTAAGGCAAATGGGACAAACCTGCCAAATACAAACAAAATTTACTCATGTTCACCATTAAAAAGTAAAACTTGTAGAACCTTAATGGTAACTAACACAAGTGCCGAGATATTTAAATTAATATCTCTGATTCAGAATAGAACATTACCTGATTGTCATAAGTAGATCTTGGAGCAGATGGAGGAGCAGCAGAACTTTTGTCGTCATAATATGAACCCGAGCTATGTTGAAAACTAGTTGCATTTGAGAATTTCGAACTGTGGCCTGATGCTGCACCATAGACAGGAGGAGGAAGCGCAATCCTCTCGGGAGCATTTCCTTTTCTTCCACTGAATAAGCAAACAATGGATTTAGCACGGTAATAGAGTGCGTACAAATGCCCCCACACATGGGCTCGTGCACAAACACACAGGAGGGGGAGAACAACATAATACAAAGATTACCCCAACAAATTAAGCTCCATTGTTGCTTTGTATTGGGATGGAATTTCCATCAATGCTGAAAGAGCAAACTCTGTCTCTCTTCGAGATTGTTGCACATTTTTGGACATAATCTCTGCAAAATTTACAAACTGCAAAACAGAAAGATCTCCCATCAGCTAAGCATGCACATATATTGAATAAATGTCCCCAGTCATTATAAAATAAAATAGAAAGCAAGCCACTAAATCTGACCTGGAAATTATCAAAGTCACGAGCAGGAATGTTATCATCAAATTCCTTCATCATATCCCAGGGGCCATCTCCAACCCCAACCAAAATAATAGACAAAGGAAACTTGCTGCAAAAGTTGCAACAGCATGACATAAAGGACTATGACAAGTTGTAAGACTTGTTAAAAGAAAAATTACATATATTTACCTTGCTTCGACGATTGCTTGAACAGTTTGCCGCTCCTGTGGACTTAACTGACCGCTTTCAGTATCAACACTTCTGGTTACCTACAATTATAAAAAAAGCTTATGAAATGTTTCAGAATTGACTCGATCGCACACAAGCCAAAAAAAAAAAATGGAAAAGGTTTTAGCATCGCAAGACAAGACAACTATTTGCCTCATGGAATGTTGAGTGCCAAAATATTTACTACCAAGTCGAAATTATCCACCATTTTCGCAAGTTGATTTTAATGAACAAAGTGAAACACAAATTCTAAAAGTAAACTAACGGGAGAATAGTATATGAAGTCCTGATATTTGCATGGATGGATATTGGAATTTAGTATACTTGCTGATATCAATGATGAAATATAACATTGAATAACATATACAAAGTGAACAAGCCAATGCCCAAGAAAGTTATTGCTTTGTTCGCTGACTATTAGACCTCTTCAAGCATACAAAAGAATCTGATTTGTCATGTACAAAGCAAACCGTGCAATTCCATCCTTGGGCCAATCCAATCACAATGTTAAAATAAGTTTAGATCACTAAAGTAAAAAAATTAAGAAATGTTTTCATTGCCATAGAATCCATCCAACAAATGTCTTGTGAAAGATACTGATATCTCCTGACTCCTGACAAAATCTCTCACAACATCCACTACAGCGTTACTCCAAATGATGGATACTTTACCTTTTCATTCTCCTAAAGTGAAAGGTCTGCTGAAAGGTCTGTAGTATGTTATCCAAGATAAGGAAAAAAATACCTGTCCATCAGCAATAATAAGCAAAACATGGTACTGGCCTCCACTCTGCTCAACAATAGTCATGGCCATTTCAATTATAGGTGCAAATGATGTTGGTCCTGCAGAAAAGTGAAAGAGAGACTGAGCTATATATTCCAATTACCATTCAAATATTAAACTTGACACAATAAGCTACGTAGTTTGTCAACCTGCCAATTTTAGATTAGGAACAATTTGCCTGTAACGACTTAAAACATCTTCAAATCCTTTGCAAAATCTCTCGTCCGGATAGAAACTGAATACATCTTGATCGTGGGTTGATGCTATCAAAATATTAGGAAGAGAGAAATAGATTTAAGTTTTATAACTTGAGTAAGCCAAATCCAGAATTTGAGAAAAAAAAAATTACAAGTTTATGGTGCCATACCATCTCCAAATCCAAAACAGGGGATCAAGTTATCCTCATCAAAATCCGCCAAGGTTTTCCCAATAATAGATATAGCTTGTTCATAGGGATTTAAACCACTTCCAATATGATGTAAGCTTCGACCATTATATGATCTCTTACCTAAAAATGGATTCACATTTCAGTGTACTTCACATAATGTTATACTTATTAGCTATCTAAATAAAAAATGTTCAACCTGTCCATTCATTGCTCTTGGTGAAATCAATACCAACAATTAGGTTGGAAGACTCAAGGCCAGCACGTGAAAGAGCTTCAGTCACCTAAAGAAATAGCGTTTTTGTTTCAATATTTTGAGAAAGCTTAAACATTGAAGAGACTAAAAAAAATTCAAATAATAAATAAAAATTTAGAAAAATTGGAAAATAATGCATGAAACATCAAAACACCATCCATGTTAAAACACAGACATGACAAGCAAATTATACCCAGAATATAATGAGTAATCTAGTTCCTATTAATATGAGTTCTCATCGTATTATTTTTCATTCCGTTGCATAGTCACGAGCAAATAGGTTTCTTATAAAATTGGCAAAGGACTTGGTACGTGTTTAAAAGTTCAATGTTGATTGTGCATGTATATATAAAGCACTTGCACACATTTTTCCTTTAGTTATTGCCAATGATCCATTGGAGAGAGAGAAGATCAACTAACACATGTAAAGTTTAAAGTAGCATTTCAGAAAGCACTAAATTATAAGCTTTGCCATGGTCAAGTGTCAAAATAATAACCTATGTCACAATACATGTTTCATTTGCTGCAGACCGTAGGATAAAGTTCCTTTTCATGACTTTGTATTGACATGTATTTTAGTTTCTCCAGCTGACACTAATTAGCAAAGACCAATTAAATGCAAGCCTAAACAGCCTGCGAGAAATTAACAAGCATCTGACTCCTATTATATCTATAGCATAAAGTTAACCAGTATGCCAGAAAG